AGCGAGTGTATGGAAGAAGTTTGTTGAAAAAAAGTGCTAGACCATAAAATGGAAAAAGTTTATATCGCTCGAAATTCCACGTGGAATTTATAATGTTGAGTGTTACATCAAACGGCGAAAGTAAAATTTTAATTTTTGAAATAAAAGCCCGTGTAATTGATAATCAAATCATGCCATTCCATCAAATGAATGTAAAAATTGATGGATTTTCATGTGCATTGTGCCGTTGGCCATTATCAATTTTATGCTGAAATGTGAAATGCAGCGAAAACATTTTAAGGTTGCTTTTTTGAACTTTATTTGTGGTTCAGGAAATTGTTTTTTTTTTCTTCTGACTTTAGCCGGATGTCAAATATAAATTATACCCTGGAGCTTTTAAACAAAAACGTTCCCACACACACACACATACCGTGTCTTTCAATGTATGGACCGAAGTGAATTTTAAATTGAAACGAAATGCAACGGCCATAGCGATTATATTCGTTAGTTCGTTTTTTTTGCTTTTATAGTGTGTAATGTGCTCTGAAAATGAAAATTTAATGAAATTCCTAAATATAAACGAGAGACCCGAGAGCTTATCTTAAGCGATTCTGTAGTTGAGTGTGTCAAAGTTGTATTTGCTTTCATCTGCCAACAACCGAGCTGTTATTTTTGGAACTATTTGCGCTGCGATGTCGAAATTCATGCACATGCATTCGTATGATTCAAAAAGTGGTGCTCATCAAACGGAGAAATAGACCGTGTATTTTATTTTGGATGTTGTATCCTCTGAATCCCCGCCATGGTTCAGTGCAGTCGTGTAATGAAGCACACGAGATGAAATATATACAATATTCATATCATAAATACTGAATGCTAAATACACTTGACGTTTTGTGTGGCATACACATTGAAGGCGATGAAATAGAGAAAGAAACTGGATTGGCATCTTGTTTGCATGGAATGCGTGACTGTGTGTGTATGTATGTAAGAGAGAGTGAATGCGGTATTTTGAATATTCTATTTTACAATGAAGTCAAACGAACTGTGGTTGTCTTTAATACTGGCTAATATGCTATGTAGTATCAAAACATCCCCCTCGTCATCTCCCTGTCATTCTATATGTTTATACATACATGCAAAGGACATTGAATGTGACAAATATATGGTAAGATGAGACAAGCCATTACCAGAAATGCAAACCAAAAGCAAAACACTGCATTTTCTTAACATGTAGTTTTGCATCATCATTTCGATATTATTTTTTTCTTCTCTCGCTCTCCCCTTTCCCCCTCCCAGAAAGAGAATCTCTGACATTCTATTTTCATGATATTTGCTATTTATCGTGGCAATTTGTTTGTGACAACGTAACATTCACATTTCAAAATGTATATACACACAAGTGAGAGCGTGCATCGAATGAGTTTGAAGAGCGATGTGAAAAGTAATTAAAATGTTACTCATTTTCATGTCATTCATATCATGTACACGCTTAATGAACCATAAAGAAAATGTGAATGTCAAACCATTTAATAGTTAATAAATGAAGTTCTCATTCACATTAAACTCTTGAAACTTACTACAGATGCAAAGGCAATCATTTTGAATGAAAAGAATATTTATGTATTGAATAAAATGAGATGAAAACTTTATCCGGTTGCTCGGAGAAATTTAATTTGAAATTATTAAAAGCTCCAAACGCAAAAGCAATAGATACACCATCTCAAAACGGTAGATCCTCTCAAATGGTTAAGCTCGCGAAACTGAAACTCAAACAAATTCCACTAGTTAAATGAAAAAGAAAATATAAGTAAAGTATAAAATGAAAGTAGCCCCCGCATTTTCAAATGAAATGCTCCCATTTTGAATCTTTTATTGACAAAGCTAATTCCGTGGAAATGTACAATGAAATCACAGCTAAAGGGCACACATCTACGAATTGAAAAGCAAATCACTCAACCCAATGACTTAAGAATTTAACCAGATTCGTTGCTCTGTCTCTCTTTCTCTATATCCATCCACACACTTATTTGTACCTGAATTCAATCCCAAACAGAAGCCAAACAAAATTCAAATGATTTGATGTGAGTTTTCGAAACTGGTGCTTAAACCTGGAATCAGTTATTTCGGCTCATGCATTCATTTTTGACAAATGCTTTCGCCGCTCGGTATGCAATCGCAGAAACATTGATTCAAAACATTCCTTCCAGTAGCCGAAGCATATGCACATTATTAAGTAGTAAATCGAACAACATGTTTGCATTATTCACGAAAAGTGAATTTCCACATTTTCAAAGTGAATTTGCCGTTTTGTGCGAATGAATGGATTGCCGTTTCACAGTGAATAAATAAGAGATATGCACTTTTTTTAATGAATTAAAGACCATTCGCTTTTTTCGGCTTCTAAATCGTTTGAATAATGTATGTGCTAATCTGCTAAAGTATAAGAGAATAGAATTCCGTCACAATATCGTGATCAAAAACCCAAAGCATTAGAACGGTAATTCTATGCATGTTTTGCATGTGAGTATGCAAAGGTTGTGTTTTTTTTTCACTTTGCTTGCTGTTTTCGGATTTGCATTCAATTTGTGGATTGGTTTTCTGTGACACCGATATGTGTCTGTGTGTGCTTATGCCACGGTTGTCTCGAAAAATAGTCACGTTGTAATCGTTCACTGTGCTACTTTGAACGACGAGCGCGGAATGTGTGCGTGTGAGAGAGAGAGAAAGAGAAAATGTGTTTTATTGTCACAAAATGCACATATAAATCGCAATATATCAATGCCAGAATGACGATGGCACTGCCACTCCATTCCAATCAAATGAATTTCCACCCGCAGCTAGAGTGATGCAAAAGTCGAAAGCTCTAGAGCGCGCGAACGCCAAACAGTCAATTTTTTATATTGAAATGAAATGCTGGTATAAAGCCGGCATAAAGAACGTGGTGATGGTGTTGAGCGCACCACACACACACACACTTGTCACCCAATACATTCTTGATGCATGTTTCGTGGAAACCGGTGATAGAATGTTGTTGATAAATATAACTTAACATCAGTGAGAGAGAAAAAAAAATGAAATAAAATCGGTAAAAATGTATTTTATTGGCGTGGCTCAAGAGATGGATGGCTTTCGAATGCATTGGCGATGGAAAACAAACCGAAGAGAGAGCGAAAAAAAAAAAATTCAAATGGAAGGAAAATTTATATATAGGTCAACAAATATAAACGACGTGCAAACGAAAGACACGCCATGCTAAAGTTTCAACGCCATTTTTTATCGTTTATTTTTTTATTCTCTCTTTTTCTATCTCTCTCCCTTCACGATCTCGCAATCGCTTGCTCGCTCATCGTTGTTGTTTGCAAAACAAAATTCTCAATGCAAAATAAACAAGAACCTCTAATATGAAATGGATGGATTTCCCATTTGCATTATGGCACGACATATAAGTCGCTTTTTTATTCAAAAGCTCCACCTTTATCCGTTTCAGTTTACGTGCCATTTTACTCACCCAAATATATATACCCTTTAAGACCGAAAACCATTAAAAAATATGCTTCTTGCAAACGATTTTGAATATGTGCATGTGTATATCGTCTATTAAAAACACGTCTGCATGACGACGTGTACATTTATGGTTGTACATGTCAATAAATTCATGTGACAGTCTCTCTCTCTCTACACACAACATACATAATGTGTGTTTTTGTTAGTTGGCAATATTCACTTCTAAATGCATTGAATACAGGATACACAGTCATTCGCCAGAAGATGTTGTTCAAAATATGCATCAATTGTAGCACATTTTACGAGCTTTACAAAATGGCGTTATCTCTCAATTTTCGACAGTAAAAAAACACACACAAAAACGCTATCACTTGAATTATTAGTTCAATATTTATGGCTTTTAATTTTCATTCAATCGTGGTCGGTACTTTTTAAATCTATCTTTCGTGCCGTGTCATATGCATTGACAAATGATTGTATCGATTCGTTGTGGCTGTTGGAAAATGCTTATTGTGTATTTCTCATGAATGGCATAAAGTGTAAATGCATCGCATTTCGAATATGCATTTTGCATTACAAATTCATCTAAACAATAAAAAAGCCCGGCGTACACACGGAAATCCATTTTCGAATGACATTTGGCAGCTTTTAGTTTAAAATAAGTGCCATTATCGTTCCGATTTTGAAAATGTGATTTTTAATTTAGGGAACTGTCATTTGAGTGTGCAAGTAAAAAAGAAATGATGAAACGAACACACATGGTACCATGGAAGAAACGACATTCATTCATTAAAACATTCAAATTTCGATGCATTGTCAATATCGATATTTATCTGTGGCTGAGTGATTTCAATAGAAAATCTAAAATTGAAAAGCTAACATTTTCGATGTGAATTTTCATTAGGTTTAGGTAGTTGAACTCTCTTTTACAAATCGATTTTCGAATGTGATCACCTTCGGCAAAAATACAAATCAAAATGTTTTTCTCAATTCAACAAATCTACATTGAACAGTCTCTCGACTCGACTCTCAAATGCAGCTGCAAGATTTCTCGTCGACGATATATGTGGAAACATGGTGGAAAAAACTTTTTTCGAACATTTTCAACTGGTTTGTTCGCATTGCATATACGAGACTAACTTGTTTACTCAAAGTTGAGTTGTTGATTTAAAACCGCACACCGAAATCAGACGGCTTTTGTTTAATTTCATCGAAACTTTTGAAAATTGAAAATGAAACCGTTTGTTTGCCGTTTTCAGTTCTATATCACGATCAATTCCCTATTGCGGTCGAATATAACTTGTAAACCACATTTCAATATCAATTGTTTTCGAAATGTATATTTCCATCAAATCAACGTGAGAGTGAACAAAATGGGTGGCAAGATATTGCATTTGCGTGTGCCATATTCAACGAAACAATGAAGACAATGAAATAAATGGTAAAACAATTAAATCGAAGAGTAAGTTTAAAACCACACAAACGTTCCAACACCGAAAATTGCAAAATTTTACCTGAAAATCCATGAAACTTCATCAAAATCCAATCTATCGCCAACAGACGCTTGAATGAAAAGCTTCGACTATATCGGTTGCTGTTGCTGGAATGATAAGAAAATAATATCGCCAATTTAGTATGGAAAAAATCACGGCAATTTTGTTGATTCAATTCGAACGAACATTAAATTCAAATGGCATGCAATTTGTGTGTGAGTATAGAAAAGCGATTTATTTCATCAATATTCCCCAGATTCCGGACATATTACAGCTATTACAATTGTAATGGTGATAGATTTTTGAAAAAAATAGGCCGAAGTGACACATATGTACATATTAATAATAGATATTAGTAGATGATCAATGATATGTGTCATTCTTCTATCATTACTCTCTATGTGTCTTCTAATTTTATCTGACGTTCTCTTTCCCCCTCACTCTCTCTGTGCGTTTCTCGCTATTTCTCTCTATTCCATCAATTACATATTTATGAACGAACAAAATCTATTAAAATCGTCCACATTGTGGCCGGTCTCAATATGTCAATCAATCACTTGATTTGCGTTGGCCATATAAAGTGATTTAATGAGTCACACTGCACATAAAATGCAATTAAATTGAAATGTACATTTCCTTAACTCCTGAATACACTGTTACTGTTAGGCCCATCCAAGAGGATATTCATACTAGAAAAACTAGAAGAACTAGCAGAACCAGCAGTGTGTTTCTAGTGCGTAAAGTTGGTTCGCAGTCATTTTTTTTATACATATTGTAAATGAAGGAGCCAACTTCACGCACTAGAAATACTAGAAACACTAGAATTGCATGAATTTCCTCACGGGCCCATCCATTCAAACACGTATATCAATGCGTCGACATCATTTGCATATTTATTTTTCCATTGGTGTTCATTTTTAATTGAAATTGAAATCTCGCAGCATACACATACGCACACTAGACAATAAAATGTGTTCAGTGTTTCTTCATTATGACCAACTGTTATTGTATTCTATCGTGTGAGTGGGCTGCGCCTCTGATTGCATACGTTGCGACAGCTTGAAAACTATTACGGCAAAATGGTTACATTTTATCAGTTTTGACATGCAGGTCAAATCGATGGTTTGCGTTTGCAAATATGCACAAATTGAAACGACCATAAATTCACCGTCCTCATCGCCGCACATACTTCGCATTTCATATGAATCTGTTGTATATACTTTATGTTCAATTAAATCATTTCCGCTAACGCTTCAGCTTTGATGTTAAACTGGTGTTGGTTTAGCAAACAGAAAAAAACTTAGTGATCACCACGGCCACAAAATCCAAAACCAAACCAACGTACAAATTATTTTAATGAAGCTCCAATTTTTTTCCGCTTTACCATCAACATTTTAATTGCTCAGTCACATGGACTGATTGCATTTATGGCCTACATTTTCTAGTGCTGCACTCATTCGTCGACCGAGAAATCGTATAAATAAAATAAAACAATTCGATGTTTATGACACACACCGACTGGTTGTTGATGCTCATGATTTATCGTCACACACAAAATCACATTTTTTTTGTTCCATCCTTTCTCTAATGCAGTTTTTGGAATTTGGGATACATTTTACAACTGCTCTCAACAAATTGATTTAAATATATCGCACTCAATATTTATCGGAATCCACACATAGATTGATTCAATCTGTTCTCGAACGGGGCGAGTAAATTTGGTTCTTGTTGCGAAAAGTTTTTTTTAGTTTTCAGGTTAAATCCGGTTTCTACGTACGTGAAATAAGATCTTGTAGGTACTAATTGAAAAACTTTTCAGGATGAAAAAAAAACTTTTTTTCGCCTGTGAAACCGAGTATTTTTTTTTCAGGTATTGAAACATGAGATAAATCTCGCAGTAGGAGTCAGTCATGCGAACTGAATTTGTACCATAGTTTGTCATCCAACGAATGTGGTTTTTTTATCAATTTCTCTCTCCCGCTATCCTTTCCGCCTCCGCGGCAACCAAATTGGATTTTATTTTTTGCTTTCAACTTTTCAACTTTTGAACATTTCAATTTACGAACTTTTTAAATTGACTTTCACCTGGCACGAATGAATCATTAACCGGGTGCGATAAAACATTAATTATATCGCTTCTGAATTTGAAAAAAGCGGCTTCAGTATAAGTGCCAATTTCATATAATTTTTTATGTTGTGAGACATAGAGAGATTTATGGCAACTCTTCACTACAAAAGATTGGATTATGAAGAAAAGCGATGAAAAAAGAGTACTTTCAGTATAATTAAAGTATTAACTCCCAACAAATGCTGCAAATATTAAAAAAGATGATGTGGGAGAATAGTGAATGGTAGAAAAGCTTTGGAATGAAAAGAAAACTCCATATGGTCAAGTACAGTAGATATTAATTAAATAAAAATGCTGTTAAAGTGCATAAAGAGTGAATATATAAAAAGTGGTAAAAATGTAAATGAAAATAAACAAGAAGAAAAAAAATTGTGTGTTGCTTTTGTCAGCGTCAAAAGCCATTTGAAACATTTTTGTTGTTAGAACTTGTATAGTTTCCCAGTTCGCCTTGATTTTTTTTAATTCAGTTGTTGTTCCTCAACTGTTGTTACCATTTCCCTTATTAATTACGAAAACAGTACAATCACTCGTCATGTGTATGCGTTTGCTCTTTAGCTTTCATTTGGTCTGTCACTCATTTTCCGTGCTCAAGTTTTTTATTGGTTCTCAAGCATCCGGTTCATGTGTTTCGCTCTTTATTAGTATTTTTTTTGTTTTGTTTATTGTTATATCAGCGTATAAATGTTCAGGTCTTCATCCAATTAAACATTCATCCGTTTTGTTTCATATGCTACTGGGTTTTAATGAGAACAAAAAAAAGGGTTGCTCTCATATTTTGACTGTTGCTCGATGGACGGTTACGATTACAGGCCAAACTTACATAACATACATGCTTTCAATTTGGTTTTTATCACTGAACGCGTCAAACTATGATTATTATTATTACATATGAAAACTCGCAACAAATTTCCATAACTTCCACCATACAATATTAGCGTCATAATTTGTATCACATTAAAAAGTTTACCCGGGAAATCGCAATCAGAAAGTTTTGTTTAATATTTGTTTCACAGAAATAAACAGAAAGAGAGGGAGAGAGGGTGAGGATGAAGTGGGGGGAAAGGAAAAAAGATTAAAGATGCGATGGTAAATACATTCCGATTCTGGTTCGGGTTATAATTGTGTGTACATTGTTGGCGAACATGCACGCGAACATTGAGTTAGTAATGTAATCATGTGTCGTGTGAATTGTGGATTGCATGCGTCTGTTCATTTGTGATATGTCATAAGTGGAAAAACATGTTGTTTGGCCACGTCGAGCAATAGAAATAGCAACATATCACCGACGACAATTTACAGAAAGTGGGAGAGAGATCGAGTGGGGAAAGGAGAGAATGCAATGGAGATAACAGCATATCGATGTTGGTTGATGTTTTCAAACAAATGTTACAACAAATTACTTAAAGTATTGCTCGAGAAATTATATGCGTACTAAATGTTTTCAATAAATTTTACATGATCGCATGCATTACAGCGTCATTGAAATAGTGGAGCATACTCTATTCATTTTCAGCCATATTATATAGTTGCAACACATGCACAACATTATTTTACAAATATAAATGGCTTGACTGCGAAATGTGCTCATTCTGACTCGTTCCTCGCCCCCCTCATTCCTCTTCCATTTTTCGTCTTTCGTTCTCTTTTTTTTGCTCTCTCGATTTTCGAGCACTTAATCATGACCAACTTTTCCAACTGTTAATAATAATTCGTGTTTTCGTCGTTAGAGAAAAAAACACACACAAGACAAAGCGCTGTCCTCGCGCCACATCCTCATTGAAATTATTTCCTAATGGATTTTAGTGCTCACTGGAGTTGGAAATAGTTTATGAGCGACATTTGTATTTTACGGGCGCAGAAAAAGAAAAAAAACTCCATTTCTCTATCCATATGCTTGCGATGAAGCTTCTTTAACGAATTGAAACATCGTGCTTTTCAATTAGTTGCAATTCATTTGAAAGTGTTGCTGTTTAAATGGCTGAAGTTTGCATCATTTGTTGGGTCTTAATAAATTTGAATATGACTTTAAATCCCAAATGGAATTAAGACATCAATTTCGTATTGAAATTGGTTTTCTCCATTACAGAGAAGATTCTTTCAGAGAGAGAGAGAGGGATACTAGGAGAGAGACCAATAAAATATGATGTTTCATAAGCTCAATTATCCGTATCTATTTTATTGACGTAATTGGATGCAAAGAGAAAAATTCTCAGCCAGAAGATAGGAAAACCAAAAACCGATGAACTGATTGAATACTCGATTTTATCAATTTAAAGCAAGAATACTGGATGTATTTGCATTAAAATTGGCCATATTAATTTGAAATGTCTAATAATAAATGCAATGAGTGCTTGATGTATTTTCACGCTTTATTTGCCAATAAATGGTCTACAAATTCGCATGATTGATTTGAATTTCAAAATATTTGCGTTTGAATTTTAAAATTATCGATTTTAGCAATTGAAATGTATTTAGATGCTTGAAACAGTGGACAAAATCATGCGACTAAGCCAATACATATTTGCTTTAAATGAATTTCCGATTAAATTGACACTGCTATTGATAAATGTTCAATATGTCATTTTAAGCGAACCATTGTTCGGGACATTTAAACGAGCAATTCGCCTTCAGCTCTTTGCTCCCTCTTGTCACCATACAATCTCTCTATGTATCCTCCGCCTCTCGTCCACTCCTCCTTACATATTCGCTTCCATTCGCTACTGAATCAATTAATCGTATGGCATTTATGTATAGACGATAATTTGATATGTAGTATTTTGAATGCATAACTAGGATATATTGATTTTCGACCTATTCCGACATCAATCCCGAACAAATCATCAACCAATGACTAGTTTATCATTTGTGTACGTAAGTAAATAAATATGTGAAATTCAGATAACTCGAACCGGACGACCATTTGACATTTATTGTAATTTTGTGAATTCATTGTGTTTTCTTTCTTGTCTGGTGTAAGCC